GAAATGGAGATCTCCTGCAGAGGGAACAGCCCAGCATCAAGGCATGGAAGTAAGGAAGAGCATGGCTGTAGGTAGCCACAGGTTGCAGAGATAAACTCAAGTCTGATTATAAAGGACCTTGGATGCTGCATGAGGGAGGAGGGATCGGATCCTGAGAGGAGTATGCAGCTACTGTTTCCGAGAACTGGGTGGGAGAGGTCACTTCATTGGGACACTCTAGTTAGGCTATGGTAACTGCACCAGGACAGCAGATCTCAAAGAATGGTGCTCAGATCAACAGCCTCAGGAACCCCTGGGAACACGTTAGAAATGTAAACCCTTGGGCACTGCCCCACCTCCAGACCTAGAGAGTCAGATACTGTGGGGATGGGGCCCAGCAACCTGTATTTTGACAAGCTTTCCAGGTGATTCTGATGCATGTAGGAATAGAGGGGGCAACAAACTAGGAAGTAGATGGGACTAGCCAGAGAAAGGGTTAAGAGATAAGAGAAGAGGGTCGAGGACAACCCTGAGCTAGGAAAAATAAGACTGAGGAGGGAGCAGCCAGAGTGCTAAGAGGAAAGTCAGGGGAACGTGGAGCTATGGTGGCCAAAGGCAGGCACACACAGGGTCAAGTCTGTTGAGAGGTCAAGCAAGACAGGGGCTGAAAGCATCTCTCTTCAGGTTAGTAATGAGAAGGTCATGGGTGACTTTGGCAAGAATGTGTTAGTCGGGTGGTGGGGCTTGAAGCCAGACTGTGAAGAGTTCAGAGATGGAATAGTAGCTGGAGAGGCCAGGAGATGGAGAGTATTTTTAAGGAGAGGAAGACTTGGTCATATTTAAATGATAATTAAAGGAGCTGGTGGAGGGAATCATTGAAGAATGAACTCTCTGAAAGTACAGGAGGGGATGTGAGCTAGTAAGCAGGTATCAGGAATTAACCTTGGACCAAACCAGATTCACCCCGGCCACTGCCACAACACGAAGAGGCAAAGATGGGTGTGGACACGGGTATACGCGTAGGTTTGGGAAGACAATGCTCATCGTAAGAGGAAAGGTCATGAGAGTGAGGGGTAGGGGGAGTAGTGAGAAGATATTTAGAGTCTAGACAGGGCCCGCCTTAGACGGGGGCAGGGCAGAAAGCTGGGAATGAGCTGGGAGAGTGAGTCACTGGTCCACCTGAGAGAAGATGGTGACCTAACCAGTCAGATGGTGGCAGCAGGGATGCAGATAAATATATGGATTACAGAGATGTTGTGGAGGTAGAATTATCAAGAGTTGTCAACTGGTCAGTTATAGGAAATAAGAGGAATCCTTCTACACATGATGTAGTAGATGGATGGAAGGTGCCCCTGCACTGAGACAGCGAGCAGCCCTCTTGATTTGTGAAAGGGGACCTAACACTTCCTTCACATGTGGTCCCTGGAGTGAAAACGCACATAAAGATCACAGTTAAGTACTTAAGCATATGCACAACCAATGGGAGCTGATAGCAAAGGATTCTTCTCCTCTCCCTTTCTAGCAGAATACTTCGAATAGAATCAGCACTCATATTTCTTGAATGATGATTGACTGAATGGATGAACAAATGAAAAAGGATGAACACAAACAGAAGTGAACTGTGTATTTCCCCTTCTGCTTCTCCCCGTGCCTAACTTTACAACAAAGATCACAAAATACAATCTGGATAGTTGACATCAGTAAGCGCATCTATTAAGGTATAATAATTGTGATTATGTTCTTAAAAACTTCTTACATTTACGGAGACATACTGAAATATTTATAGATAAAATGATGCAATATTTGGGGATTTCCATTAAGTATGGGATGGGAAGGAGGAGTAGAATTTACAGAGGAAATAAAATAGGACCTAAGTTGATAATTATTGTATTTGGGTTATGGGTCTATGGGATATGGGAATCATTTTAGTCTAATTTTGTGTTTAATTGAAAATCACACAATTTTTTGTTTGTTTTTCCCCCAATCACAGCACAGTCAACCCACAACCTCTGGCAGAACACAAGGCCATAAGACATCTCACTGCCATGTAGAAAAAAACAGTATTCAAATCTTCTGGATCACCAGTGAAGATACGACAGTTATTATATTAGAGAGTGGTTTGTTATTCTTTATTTATTTTGTGGAATGGGGGTGAAGGCTTTTTTTCATAAAACAGATCTGAAGTATAGATTGGTATTTTTTAAATGAAGCACATTATCGCTTCTTTACTTCAATACTATCTCCTTGCCTTGGGTTTGATAAAATGTGTATCTGATGCCACTTACTCATCATAACACCTGGACGCTCGCAGGCAAGCTAACCTCTGCTGTTCCAGCTCTCCTCCAGTGTGCCAGTCCTTCCCCTCTCTCAACACAGGGCCTTGCCCACCCTGTTCGCTCCACCTGGCACGCCCTACTTGCCCCTGTGCCTGGCCACTTCCTCCTCATACTTCAGGTCTCAGTGTTAATTTCATGCTCCCTGAAAGCCTTCCTGGACCAGGAGACTGTGCTGGGTGCCCCTCCTATGTGCTCTTGTAGCATCGGTGTTTACCCTAATGGTTCTTCTCTCCTTTAGGCTCCTTACCAAAAGGGGGCACGGGGACTGTGAGCTGGAGGACAGGTGTAGTCCATCCACCAACACCTACCAATTGTCCCTGAACAATGGAATCCGTCTCCTCCCCTCCAGCCCCTCTGCCAGTGCCTTCCCTCCAGCTCTCACTGCCTGTGCCTGCACCACCCACTGGTCACCAGCACCCAGCCCCTGAGCCAACCTCCACAGGGCCATCCCCTGCTTAAACTTTTTCAAAGGCTTCTCAATGCCACCTTCTTTAGCTCGTGCCCCATTTTTCTTTCCTTTTGCTTTACTAAATAAATATGTAATGTAAAAGTTGTCATTTTAATCATTTTAAGTGTACAATTTACCGGCATTAATCATATACATAATGTTGTGCAATCGTCACCACTCTTTCTGAAATTTTTTCAACGCCCCAAATAGAAACTCTGTACCCATTAGATAATAACGACCCCCACGCCCAGCCTTGTTAATCTACTTTCTGTCAAGGACAGGGACTGTCTGTCTCTATGGATTTGCCTGTTCTAGAAATGTCATGTAAGTGGAATCATACAGTATTCGTCCTTTTGTGTCTGGCTTATTTCACTCAGCAAAATGTTTCCAAGGCTCACCCATGTTGTAGCGTGTATCAGAGCATCACTGCTTTTTGTGGCTGATACTCCCCTGTACATATATACCACATTGTGTTTCTCTCTTCATCTGTTGGTAGATTCTGGGCTGTTTTCCACTTTTTAGCTATTGTGAATAGTGTTGCTGTGGATGTTGGCATAGACGTATCTGTTTGAGTTTCCATTTTCAATTCTCTTGGGTATATGCCTAGTCGTAGAGTTGCTGGGTCATGCTGGTAATTTTATGTTTAGCCTTTTGAGAAATTCTCCCTTTTGATAAAAATAAAAAGCTCACACCTACCTCAAGACCGTGATATGCTGCTTCTCCATCCCTACATAGATTCCTTCCTCGAGAATCATTCATCTCTAGAGAACGTGCAAAAGCCTTGGCTCAGCTGGCAAGAGAGTTCAGGGTCTGTCCCCTTATCTCCCTTTTCCAGCTCATCGCCCTCCAGTCCTATGCTCTCACCAGGATGCATCCCTGTGAACTGCAGAGGACTGTGCCTCTGTGCACAACAGCTCTGCCCTCTCTTTCTCTTCCTTTGCCTACTCCTGCTGGAAGAAACTGCCCAAGCCTTCCCAGATCCTCTCAGGTCTCCCACAGCACCTTCTTTGCCCTAAAAGGGCAAAAATTACCACCACTCTGAATTGTCCAAAAGGATAAAATCCATGCTGGACTCTCCCAGCCCACAAACCCTGCCATCAACCAAGCCTGCATTATATAAAAGCTCAAGAAAGTCTGAAAACAAAATTTCAGTGGCATAAAATTTCAAGGTGAAACAGATGGCCGTGGGTTATCCAAAAGAAGTTTCATCTACTTAGGGCAATAAAATTCTAGCATAAATATGTGCTACTGATCTTTAAAATGCTACTAAATACCATATTTAACATTTCATTTGACTGCAAATGTCTCAAAGATAGGGATCATACTTTTCTGATTTAAGCCTTTTTTATTATGAAATATAATACATATAAGATAATGCATCACATGAAAACATATGGCTTAATGAATTAATATAATAAGAAAACCCAAGTAGCCACAACCTAGTTCAAGACATAGAACATTGTTAGGGCCTTAGAATCTTGCCACATGACCCTCTCCAATAATAACCCCTTCCCTGCAGGTACTTATCTTTACGGGAGTCCATGTCTTTGAAAACTAGAGCACTCCATCCTGGTTAGGCAACTGAAGACTTATGAAAGAATAAAGTGATGTTCAAGCTTTTACACCACGGACTCTCATGGTATGTCATCAACACATGTGTTGAGTTATGCTCAGTTTCACACATCGATATTTTATACCATCTTCTGTTTCATCGACCAAAATTAATTTTAATAAAATAACAAAATTTCAAGTGTTTGGTAATTTCACTTTGGCTTTCATAGATTCCACTGGGGGAAAAAAAACTCAGGTTTGCTTATTTCTATCCAAATGCTATATACCATATACCAGCTATGTATGTGTGTGTGTTTATCAGCTTTATTGAGATATGATTCACATATCATACAATTAACCCATATAAAGTATATAATTCAATAGTTTTTAGTATACTCAGCTTCCAAACCAGCACCACACAATCTATTTTATTTTAAAACATTTCATCATCCCCCCAAAAATCCTGTACCCATTAGCAATCACTTTCCATTTCCTTCAACCCCCCAGCACTATGCAACCACGAACCTATTTTCTGTCTTTATGGATTTTCCTATTCTGTACATTTCATATAAATGGAATCCTACAATATGTGGTCTTTTGTGCCTGGCTGCTTTCACTTGGTATAATGTTTTCAAGGCTCACCCATGTTACAGTATGTATCAGTACTTCATCTTTTTTATTTCTGAGTAATACTTCATTGTATGGATATACCACATTTTGTTTATTCACTTACCAGTTAATGGACATTTGGGTTGTTTCTAATTTTGACTATTATTAATAATGCTGCTATGAACATCTGTGCAGAAGTTTCTAAACACATGTATGTGTTCACACTTAAAAGAGTGAAACTTCTGGTTCATATGGTAACTCTGAGATCGGCCAGATTATTTTCCAAAGGAGCTGTACACCATTTTACATTCCCATCAGCAGTACATAAGGGATCCAGCTTCTTCATAGCATTGCTAACACTTGCTTGTATGTCTTTTTTTTAAGTATGGTTGTTCACAATATTATGTTAGTTTCAAG